AGGGGCGGGGCTAGGGCGGGGCTCCTCCCGTCCTCTTTTTTGCTTGCTGAAATATGGTAACCCTACTACACTCGCACTTCACGGCAGCGCTGTGAATTCCCAAGTGTAGCCAAGGCCAGAGGGAACAGAACTGCAGGATCTAAGCTTCAGTCGAACTGGCTGAGCTAACCACAGTTAGTACCAGGGGACTGCAGCCCAAAGCTCAGTCAGAAGTGGTCAAATCATGTGATTGCACCTGGAAAGAGAGGTGATGACTCAAGGCCCAAGGGAAATGCACATGAAGAGACAAGCAAATTAGACATGGGTTGGAAATGTCAGAGGTGCAGTTAGCCCAGTAACTGTGACATATTTGGTGAGACAGTGACAGTGGTGAGGTTCCAACAAGTGCCAACAGCAGGGAAAGTAAGTGTTATAGACGGAAGAGCAAGAGTAAAACAGTCCAGTGTTCTTGTCTAAGGAGAAGGTAGAGAAAAGATAGGCAGGAAAGATGAGTTATGAGCAACTCAAAAGAAGCAGCTGGTGCATTTATGCAGACACAGCTAACCTCTCAAGAGCTGACAAAGGGACAGCTGGTCAACCTGCTGCACTCTGAGGACCAGAAAAGAAATGATATTCCAGGATGGGGAGGGCACTCGAGAGAAGCATCCAGATTGCCAATGGGGTACCAGAGTCAAAGTTGCTGGAGGCCAGAATGGAACAGCAGAATTGGGAGATCTTGGGGATGAGCGCCTCGAGGGAAACAAGGAAGAGGCTGATAGAGGCAGCAATTGGACTCTGTCCAGACCGAGTTCACCTTTTCAGCAGCAGCTGGCATTGAAGAGACCGGCTAGTGGAGGAAAACTGCAGTTTGAGAAAAGCTGCAACATGAACTTGAAGAGGAGAAAATGCACCAGCAGCCCCTGGACCTTGTAGGTGAAGGCAGACCCCACAAATCAGGATCCTTAGGAGGCACAGATTCTAAATTGCTACCTTACTATAGGGAGGGCGGTGACATAGATGTGCTTTCTATATGCTTTTGAGGTGAGTTGTGAATAAATCAGGTGGCCATCAAGGGCTCTGGGAGCTGGCAATGAGACATGGAGGGTGAACTTTCTGGCAGCCTCGCCAAAGGGGGCTGGGAGGCTGCCCCCTGGGGGCAGCAGGCTAATCAGGTGGCTGCCGACACACACAATGTGCATGCAACTGAATTTTCACCTCTGATGTCGTGAGGCTCACACCAGTGACACTTGTGATACTACAGCAATGAAGACCACTCTGTATCTAGATAAAACGATACCACCTTTTTGTCCCAGCCATCTGTACAATGACTGGGAAGGCGTCCCACGGTAATATTGGTTTGTGAAATATGTAACTTCCACTTTCTGTGTATGCACATACCAGCTGTGGGACAAAAATATAACCTTCAGTTCCCATTTACAGTGCACACTGGCTGTTGTAATCAATAGACTCCTGTTAAACATTAGCAAAGAGAGGCCAAGGGGTGTGAATAACGGACAGAAAAAAAATCCTTATTTTCCATGAGCTGTTAAAAAATCTCCTCTTTGATACCAGCATCTACAGGAATCCTACAAAGCGCAGGGGTCCATTTGTCATGTACGTTTTTCTGCATATCAATGGCACGTTGACTTTCCAAATATCTTTAGTCGAGCTGGGGGAAATATTAGTCACCAAATAGATTTCTGAACATAATGGCAAGCTCAGAAGGAAACCATCTCCTTTTGCCAGAACAAAATGTTGGTGGAGAAGTGTTGAAAATTGCCCAATATTCCTGACCCTCGTCCTGGCACTGCAACCCTAATCCTGGCCTGGTGTGGAGGGGGATGTCCCAGGTGGAGGGGCTGGAAAGTGAACCTGCCCCGCATGCACCCCACCATGGCTAGTCCTATCCCATGGGAGTAGGCCCAGCTTCCTGCTCCAGGCATTGCAACTTGGTGCACGGGGTGGCAGCGTCACTCAGGTTTGGCCCAGCTGCTCCTCCACCATGACGGAAAGGCAGCCAAGACAAACCTGAGTGGCGCTGCAACCCGTGCGCCAGGTCACAATGCCGCTCACTCAAATTTGTCCCAGGCGCCCCCGTCATAACAAAGGGGAGGTCAGGACAAATTTGAAATGAGGGGGAGGGGCTGTGCAAGTGTACACAGTGCACGTTGGTTAATCCAGGCCTGATTTCTGTGGGTCCAGTTGCATCCTTGGAAGCTGGCTAACACCACGGCTGTTTCTCTCTCAGCCTCTCTATTTTGAGCTTGCACTGCCTGCTTCAGAAAAGAGAGAGCAATTATTTACAAGAGGAAATCTTCTCCATTCAGTGAGCACTTCGAACTCCCTATTAATATGAAAGGAGAGAATAGACTCTGGAGGAAAGCAGTGCAATATATCAGTTCTTATTAACTGTCAACACCAACATGGAAAAATACTTAAGCAAATTGGCAGTTTATATCTCCAGCTAACTTAACCTATCAGAGTTATGAAATGCACACTCAGAAAGAAGAACTCTGCCTGTCGATGGGGTTGTTGATGAGTCAGATAAATAAAAAACCATTAAAGCAACTGGCAATTTTTCTAAAATCCTAATTAAAAGCCCTCTGAACCATAAGTAAATGGGGGGGAAGCTCTAGAGACACAGGGTCAGATCCTCAGCTAGTGTAAATTGACTTAGCTCCATAATGGAGCTATGAACATTTACACCAGCTAAAGTTTGGTTCCACAGGCTTTTTCCTGTTTATTTCCCCTTGTGCTAGTTCTCTGACAACATTATGTTGTCACTGTACAGATTTAAATGAAGAAGAGTCTACATGTTTTTACTGACAGATAGTAAGGTGTTATTTGTTGTGTGCATGGTAATAGACTCTGATCCAAAGAAAAGAAATCCCAGGAGATTAGGGGGTCTGGGTTTCCTCTCCCTTATACCAGTGTAAATCAGGAGTAACACCACTGAAGTGAATGGAGTTACACTGGTGTAAAGCTGCTATAAATGAGAGGAGAATCAGCATCTAAGGGTATGTCACCTTTGTCCGCCTTGTCCTCGCCCGTCCCTCCACGAACACAAGCCAATGCTACACCATTCTACTTTGTTGCGAGCATGTTCTTTCCATTTCTGGCCAAAGAGTTTTGTCATGGGAACCGCCCTAACGTGTTTTCAGTCTGCCAAGTGGTTGCTTGTAGTCTCTGGGGATCCAGTCACTGATGTGGGTTGTCCACCTGTTGTCTTGCCTGAGGACTACGTGACCCACCCATCTTTGCTTTCTGTCATACATTGCCTGCACTACATCGGTCACCTCTGTACACCTTCTGATCTCCTCATTCGGTATCTGATCACGGAGCAACATGTCTGAGGGTATGTCTACACTGCAATTCAAATCCCATGACTGGCCCATGCTAGCTGACTCGGGCTCACGGGGCTCAGGCTGCGGGGCTGTTTAATTGCAGTGTAGACACCCAGGCTTGGGCTGGAGCCCAGGATCTAGGACCTTGCGAGGTGGGAGCATCCCAGAGCTTGGGCTGCAGCCCGAGCCAGAACATCTACACTGCAATTAAACAGCCCTGCAGCCCGAGCCCCGGGAGCCCAAGTCAGCTGGCACAGGCCAGCTGTGGGTGTCTAACTGCAGTGTAGACATACCCTAAGAGTCAACTGATTTTAATGCGCAGAGATGAATAGATGTGGAAAAGTCAATTTGGCTTATTTAATACAATCAGTTCTAAATTTGGCAAATTCACATGACTAAGAAGAACATGTCCTGAGGAGGCAGTCCCTTACTCAGTACAAGGAAGTACACTGTGATACCATCATCAACGTGGGTGGGGGAACAAAATTCCAAGATTACTAAAGGAATGTGACAGCATATTGATCACTCTCTGACAGGGAGGGCGTAAGATCTATTTGTCAAATTTGCTCAGAAGAGCCATAAAACGGAGGGACCAGCTGTCTTACAACATGTATATTATTTCTTCTGAACAGTCAATTCATCCCCTGAGCAAAATGGTTAGAGTTGTTTAGTTCATCTCAGAATTTCAACATTTAGGAATATCGAGAAGGGCTTTTTAAGTTACCATGTAACAGGCGTGAAAAAATAATATGTGGAACTGTTTAGGCGTTTACTTTTAAATACATCAGTGAATGTCCCATATTACTATAGAGCACATTTCACTTGTCTGCAGCAAAGATATTTATTCACCCAAAGATCTCAAAGCATCCCATCGAGGCATTCAAATATTTGTATTAAACAATTGGAACAACTGACACAGAAAGAGCGAAAGGCCAAGCTTTTCAGAAGCGGCCTCTAATTTTGGATGCCTCAGTCCTGGGTGCCCAACATGAGACACCTAAGTTCACATTTTCAGAGATTCTGCTCACCTGCAACTCCACTTGAAGTCCATTTTCCATGGGAAATCGGAGGCCGGGTGCCTAATTCTCTTCAACCCCAGTGTAAATCAGGAGCAACTGCACAGCAGTCAAGGGATCTGCACTCTTCTAAGTGAGAGTAGGAACAAGCTGAGGGCCCAAAAATGGAAACAACCCAAAATCAGAAACAATTTTTGAAGGTGCAGGCTTAAGTGGCTCACCTGCTTGCCCAAAATTACACAACATCACTGTTTCACAGTCAGGACTAGTACCCAAATCTAGCGACACCAGTCCTGGTGCTTTAGCCACTAGATTATACGTCTCCTCTTAGAATGCCATCAACAAATAGGAGGAGGGTCAAAAGACAAATAGCAAACAGTAGGACAGTACATTGCTAGTTGTATAAAGTGGTGACCTTACCATACAGAATATGTATGCAGAAATATAGAAGAGCTATACCATAGAAAATTGAGGGGACAACTGGCAAATGGAGAAGTGATAAAGAATTAAGTCAGCTGAGAATTCAGTGATTCCCAGGTGTAGGTGAAGTTATGTAGAGTTGGTAGCAGCTAAAACTGCTTTATACACAGAGGGGTGTCCTGGTTGCTCTGGAAGGTAAGAAGTATTATTCCCAAATTTAATGCATAGAAGAGAATAAAGTGTTGACCTGTCACAGGAGGTTTTGTTTATGGCTTTCACTGGAGATCTGTGAGTTGTAAAATGTGCATTCTAGTTGTTTTTATTTCATATATAATAAACATAAATGCTTTCTTGCAGAAATCAATGACTCTTTAAAAGGTTTGTTTGCTGTCTAAATGATTTGCAAAGTCAGTGAAGAATGCTGTTGGGGGAGTTCTGGCAAGAGTTTACAGCATGGAGACAATAGTATGTAATAGAAGTTGGAAAATATTTAGACTTGGGGGAAAAGACAGCTTGTGTAACATTGTTGCAGTCTCCGATGATCTGGGGTGGGCTTTCACCATTCACATTTATGGAATGGGAGTACTGGTTAGAGGGGAGGAGAGGAAAGTATGCCATTGTATGTTTGTTTGTATGCATAATAAATAGTTGTTTTGTCTAATGTGGATATTTATTAAGTCATGCACTAACAGCCTGAGAGCTTTTTTGCCACATCAGTGACACTACACAGCAAAGCAGACATAGGAACAGCAAGAACTAGAGCTGGTCGGGACATTTTTGACTAAATGAAATTTTGGCGAAATATGCTGTTTCACAGAGACATATGGGTTTCAACGAGAAAGAGCGTGCATGCACGCATCCACGCACATTTGCTTCTCAAATAGCTCAGGTTTCGATCCAAAACCAGACATTTTGACACAATTCCATTTCTGGGACAATGTTCTAACGGGGTTGATTTTGTTCCAATATGGAAGGAAAACAGATTTCTAAACCTCACAAGTTTCCACAAAACAGAACGGTTGTCAGCTTTTGCTAGACCTGGTCCACAGGAAGCCTAAAAGGCTCAGATCGTGGTAGATACTGACTCCCACAGTTCTCTATGCAGCCATCTTGTTGCAGAGAAGTCTTTCTAATGACATTTTCACACATGCTTGCTGAAACCATAGTTATGAGACATTGCAGTATTCCACCCTTCTTACTGAAGGGCATAGGCAGTGGTTGGAGCCTAATAGGGTGAGAATATAAAGCAGAAAGGTGGCTGATAAATATAATGCCCATAAAATCAACAAGTACATAACAATGCCCTGAAAGCCCCTCCCACCAGAAAAACTAAGGTCTTGTCTATCCTAGGGATTTGCCCTGATTACAGTCAGTGGTGGCCACCAATGGGCACCCCATGTGTAGACACACTAAGCCACAATTTGCTTATCACTGCTTAAAACTGGGGTAGGCCCACCTGGGGCAAAGAGAAATTTTGGCTGCCTATGCTTGGGATTGGTCTCAGTGATATTAAACTGGTGAATGGAACTCGATGGATGTGATCAAGGAATATACCCAGGGTAGACAAGACCAGAAGGGAAGAGTGAAATAAAAGTATTCTTGCAAATCTGTTCCCAATTAATGGTCCACACAGGAAACTGGTGCAAAAAATATCTGAATGACACATACCCTTTAGTTCCAAACCAGTAGCATCATTTGAAGCATCAGTGAGGTAATATTTATATATTAGGATAAGAATCCTGTAATATAAAAAAGATTTCTGCCTTCATTGTTACAAGGGCTGTGCAAACCTCAGAAGAGTCAGAGCTTTGGTTCAGATAATCAAATGTCTGGCTGCACATATTGGAAACATATCATTCTAGAGATCTAGCTGCAAAACTTATGAAAACTGGCTTGCATTTCCAATCTCAGCAAAAATTTAGAAAGGACAAAGCTATATGAATATCAATACAAGAATTATACTTTTTCTGAAGGTTCCATTTGAGGTTTTGGATAATTTCTTATTTTATTCAAGCCAGCTAGTCTAGAGTGACCCCAAATACACTATTAGGGACTGACACACTATTACAAAATACATGTTTGCTTTATGTAATAGTTAAAACCAAAGTTACCTACCTGATTCTAGTTCATTACACAACAGATAACGGCATGAGAAAGCTGAAGGTCAGCCAGCTAGATGTAGGGATTAGTAGCAAGGACACCACAGTGACAAGGCATGAGTTCTGGAATAGCTTCAGGTCTCATACTGCCAGGTCAGGGCAGTTCAGCCCATAGCAAAGGAGGCTTGTTGGCCACTGGGAGGAGATGGTGGGAGTGGTGGCACTCATTTCTTCCCAAGCAATTCTTGTCAGCCAGTCTTCAGAGTGGTCTTGGAGGAGGCCGTTCATTCACCCTTCATGCCAGATGTTGAGTGCTGCATTCACTGCAATCTAAACAGAGGGGAATTAGAGGCATAAGAGAATGGACTTCTTATAAGGTTGAAGGATCCTTAGAATTCCCCCTACAGTTGCTACATACCATTGCTCAAGACAGTAACTTTGGCAAAACACGAATAAAATCAAATACAAAGAGAATTAGATAGGTGAGCTATTTTTTAAAATAACGTAGGCTATGCTGTATTGTTTCAGATTACACTAGTGTTCCTTCCCGATAGGTTAAATAGATGAAGGTATGCGTAACTAATGTATGCGTAAGTACTCCTCATTATCACAGATACCAGCAGGGCCCAGTGCCAAGGTTTTGTAAGAGCTGGGGTAGCCCATCTCATTCAGACCTAGTGATTTGTGGGAGTAACAAGGGGTGTGTGAGGCACAAGCCAATCTGAATCAGCCGACAGGTCAATGTCCATTTTCTGATCAAACAGAAGCCCCACGAGCTGGCTGATAGAAGGTCATGGTTCTAGCGCAAAAGTCAGGTCAATACACTTCAGTGCAGTACTAGTCTACACCATGGACAGCTTGGATCAGACAGTATTGCTACATTCCCCATGCTTTTTAGTGCCCATATTGAAGTCTAATTTCAATGTTAAACCATTGCTCACAACACTTAAATGATGACTGCAGCATTGCTTCATTCAACCAGATTTTGTAGTCTTCATCTCAAATCTACCAGAGTGGTAGAATTGCTGAAGTTAGAGTGGCATTAGAGTGGAGAGTGTATTCACACACTTGTAGCAAAATCATTAGATCCAGTGGTGTAGCTGGCCATTTGATATTTATCCACACAATGGCCAGTTCACTGCCCCTCAGTGCACGATAAGCCTACAAACTCCCAATGTATATTTGCCATTACACACAGTAAGAACTGGGTGAATGCTAAATAAAAAGTTCCATGAATATTCTCACATCACCTTTGTGTTCCCTTCTTGTAAACATTCACACCACTGTTTAATTAGCACTCATGGTTGCAGAAAGCAAATTTTACAAATATGCACTCAAACACGCATGGATTTTAAGTTCTCTTTCTGTAAGCATTTGCGCAAGATTATAACTACATTCATATATTTGGGGGGGAAACAATACCAGGTGACTTATTTCATTAATCACCTCTAAACTATAAAACCTGAAGTTTGGAGTTCAGACTTTGAGCAGCTGCTTTAAAATAAAAAAATTCAGGAGAAATTTCTTTGAATAATTTTGAATAATGAATATAAAATATTTGCACACAACTGGCCAAATTCCATCTCACATATGACCATGGAATATCAATGGGAAGCCTCAGTGAGTGCTGCTAAACCTAGACGTCTAGCAGCGGGTTAATAAAAGATCTGTTGAAGATGATGCACCAAAGTGGGCTCCAGGAAGTTAAAACTGAGCTAGTACAATGGGAATGCAAATGTGGCAATAGCATGTCCTACAGTGAAAAGGGTGTTATGTCACATATCACAAGAAAATATTTCTCCAGGCCAGGGTGCCTCTGACATGTGACCTCCCCCAAAGAACTTGCTGGTAATCAGAAATCCCAACCACCCATTTGTGAGAGGAGAGTACACTATTGGGCTCTCGCAACTCATTGACATGTAGGAGATACAGAGACTCATCAGCCATTAACTCCTTCTATGCTGCTTACTGCCTGGATTCAGCTTCCACAGGCATTCTCTGAGGCATCTGCCTTTCAAAAGGAACCAGTGAGATACCTGAGTCAATACTTTCTGTGTGGCTTAAAGCACACCATGGTTACTGAGGCTCACAGACGGGGTCTGTCACTGCCCTCATTGTGCCTCCTGTGATGCTTCCTTTCCTGGAGATATCCTACAGGCCTTTTCCACTTCTGATATAAGTCACAAGGCCTGTGATAATCCTTTACCTCACTTTGAATATTTGAATAAAAAATGTTCTTTAACCTTTCAATGTCCACTGTCTTCCCAAGTGTCCTGCAAAAGACCAATCATGGGCTAATAACATTAACTCCACATGATGCTTTGAGGGCCCAATCAATTGTTTGTAGGGTTTTCAGACTTTCTATTTTTCCTCACCAGGGCCTCTGAGTACAGCCTACCCTCTTCTATAAGAACCACCCCCTGGCTTTCTCTGTCTGGGTTCTTACTGTGGATGGTTTCTCTACTGCTCTCTAGAATACTGTCAGCATTTTGCTCTGCAGCAAACTCTGTTTGCTGTCACTGGCAGAGTCAAAGATTCCTCCTCCTCCTTCTTTTGGACATTCCCTGCTGATAAGGGGGCAGGGGCTTCTCCTTCCCTCTCAGCTGCCTTTCCCTCCTCTGAGGTTATCACTGTGAACTCAGGGAGGTATTCCCTTTTACTATGGGCCTCCATATTAACTGCTTTGGGCAGCAATAGTATGTCCTTCCCAGCCAACACATCAGCTGGTAAATTCTTAAGTACTCCTCAAACCTTCCCACTTCCGTTCAATGCCAGCCAAAAGTACTGTGGTTTTATACTGTCCTAAAGCTAGTAGTTTCACCTCCTTCCAGGGAACATAGCATTCTCCCGAATCACATCCCTCCTGACCAGGGAAATCTGAGCACCAGTGTCTCACCACCCCTGGCACACTGTACCATTATCTTCGCCTGACAAAGTTAACCAGAACTTCCTCTGCCACTACTGAAGCCTCTGACTCCAGGGTAGCTTCATTCACCTGAACAGAGAGGAGATTGAACTTAGACCCCACTCTTAGGGCATTGCCTTTTCATTTGATCAAGTGACGCACATAAGTAACGCTTTCTTCGGCCTTCCTCTTGGTCTGAGGTCCAGTCATTAGGGTTACGAGAAGGTGATTGGAACTGGGGTGGTGTGGATTTAGTTCCCTCTCCTCCCTCCTTTTTCCCTGGAACGAACTCTCTTTTATGCCAGGATTGTGCCCTGCCCTTTGGGACTTGTGCTCCTGAAATAGTCTCACTTGTACGGTACTAGTCAGCTGCTGCAGCAGCTGCTTCCACTGAGGCTGGCGTTTTCTCCCACACAGCGGCTCGCGCTTCCTTAGAGCAAACCTCAGAGAACTGCTCCTGAGAAAACAGATCTACCAGCTCGTCTTTATCCCCTTGACCCTTTATCCATTTGCTCAAATAATCCAACATTCTGTGCACATATTCCCCAGGACTTCACTTAACAACCTTTTTGAGGTTTCTGAATTAGAGGCGACATGCCTCTGGAGTAATTGGAAACCTTTTTTAACGCAGACTTCTGGAACTAAACATATTTCGTAACATCACTAACATCCACATCATTAAATACTTGCAAAGCTTCTTCAGTCTGTTTGAGAATTAGGACAGTCATTCTCTAGCCACCAGGGATTTTATGTACCCTGCATATTCTTTCGAAGATAGTTAGATATACTTCAGTGCAATCAGTCTCTCCGAAACTTGGGCCCAGCTTGGCCCAGCTGTGTGATCCCCTGACCAGGATTACTCACAGGCTGAGAGATCAGTTTTTGTAAGGCCAGCATGCTCAGGACCACAGTTGCCAACTTTCATGTGGTAAATAAGCACCCAACTTTCACAATAAGCCAAAAATCAAGCTAATCCCATTTCAAAACAAGGCCAAAACAAGCCAATCCCTAAGAACCCCAACACTCTATGTGATTAGATCCCCTGGCGTGCAGTCTGGGACTGTGGTGGGCCCGCTGTGCACCCCTAACTCTCTCCCCCACTTGCCCCTTGCCCTTGCTTGCCTCCCTTGCCCCTGCCTGCCAGGAGCTGATCAAAAAAAAAAAAAAGAAGCAACAAGCTACAATAAGCAACAAGCCAAAAACTAGCCAACAAGCAACTCACAAGCCAATTAAGCCAAAAACAAGCCCAATTTCTGCGTCCCCCTTCCCTCCCCCCGCAGGTTTGGCATATCTGCTCAGGGCATGAAGTCTCTCTTAGCTTTTTCTAGGGCTTCTGCTTCTCTGGTTTCATGCTTTTTTGTCTTCTAGCTCCAGTGCTCTTGGTGGGCCACTTCTAGGGCTGCTTCCTCTGTCTTCCACTTTTGCTTCTCTGCCTCCTCTATCTGCTATTGCCATCTTCTGGACCTCTATCTCAGCCAATCTGACTTTCATGGCTGTCTTACCAAGAATTGGGTCAGGCTGGTTTTCCAAGTCCGTAGACACCCTCAAAGAATCTGGCTGCCCTTCATGTTGCTTGTCATTCCACAACCAGGGCTCTCATGCCTTCCACACTTGTTCTGCACAAGCAGCACTCTGTACACAACTTTTCCAACTACTTTTTGGTATATTTAGCATACACTTCTTTGCTCATCCTGCCTTTTCTGCTGCTTTATTCCCTTACTCAAAATAAACAGAAAACAATAAACCATGACCTTTTCTGCACCTGTTCCCAACCTTCTCATTTGTGAATCTCTTAGTAGCTACAGTATTTGGTAAATAAGTGCCTGGAGCATGACGCTTAGCTAACCAGCAAACTGGGTGTATATCCTGCTGACTACACCACTGTGATGCTTCCCGGGGCACCCAGGGTTGTGAGGTGCCTCGCCACCACCTGCCTTCTGGGGTGCCCTTCTACTCCTTGAGGAAGTCTTGTCTGGCTGGTGTGGATCAGCTGCCTGAAACCACCAGCCACTGGCAGCACACGCGCAGCTTTCCAGGTATCTGCAGGCCTCGCTCGCTCCGTACAGGTTAGCGATAGGCGTGCACCAACTCCCAAGTCTGCCAGGCGACCCTCTGCAGTGTTCAGCCCCTGTTCCACTGATCTGTCACAGAGCTCCCAGATTCGCTGCTCCCAAAGGAACAGTGCACTCCAGCTTGCAGTGTTCCACTCAGGATCTCCACTCTGCACAACACACAGCACATATATGCACACAGAAAGAGTGAAAACAAGAATAAGTTCATGATCAAAGAGCAGGGATTCAAGTGATAGACAGTAAGACTACTAGAAACAAATGGTCACATACAAAATAAAATCATAACACACTTTTCTAGAGCATTAACTTAACTCACAAGACATGCCCCCATCTCCTACACGATAGCTTACCCCAACTCCTTTTCCCAGCATTCTCAATCAGAACCCTGGGCTGAGAACCCTTCTCATAAGATCAGGTGGCTTGTCCTCACAGACTGAAGGTATACCTGGGTCGTCTTCTGCACCCTAGCTATAGTTTCAAAAGTTCATTTTCTTACTCCTAAAACAAGGTAACCCCCTGCTGGTTTTGTTTTTTCCGCTAGCCATGGCTATCTATTGATTAGCATTTTGCTCAGACTATAAATAGGCAGCCATTGTGAACCATGCAATACTTAATTTGCATTTGCCCATCCAGAGTGAGATAAGTGCCTCTTTGCCCCTGCCTGACAGGGGATGTGGATCACCTTTCAGTGACTTGCCTTAACACCGACCTAGAGAACATTAATTTTTAGTATATATATACATAACTCTTCATATATTTGCCATACATGCATTTCACAATGAGTATGCTGACCCGTGTAACACAGGCTTTTGTTAGAGACATTGCACGACATTCTTTGACAGACTAGTAGGTAGATGCCAGACCTAGGGGATCCCTGTAACTCTTGTGTATCTCTGTGCTCTCTGCCAGTTGGCATCACAAGGTCCTTGGGTCATACCTCCTCATAACCCCTTGTCCTCTAGTGACTTTCCCTTTTACATATAACCTTTAAAACATTCAATATCTTCAAAAGTGCAAATCCCCAAATTCTAAATAATAGATGCACAATCTCGTCGTTGTCCCCCTTTACAACAGTTAGACGCCGATCCTTTTACTTTCTCTGATTCATGGAATGTTGGTGGGGTTTTTATTTTTAATTTAGGACTTGGGAGACACCAACTTTTTATTAAAATAAATGCACTGCTTTTAATGAAATTGTGGGT